TCTTAAACGATATGGTTACTACATACAGCAGTACCATGACCTTGGACCTGTGTATTACTCTGCAGCTAATTCATCACACTGCACTAGATGCCAAGCCGAGCTGCTAAATTCTGTTGCAATGATTCTGTACCATCTAGGAATCTTGAAGATGTAATCCAAAAACTAACAAACGAAATCAGTGCTCAAATCTTCATGCAGACTAGAAGAAATTCAGAATGCCAAACAAGGAGGTACAGCCCTTCAAAGATCGGGAAATCTGGATATTTGATGAACAAAAGCAAAAAGGGCGCACTCTCATCGTGCATTAAAGTGGTACACCACATGTTTATAGTGAAGTCAAATAGATATATACTCACAAACCAAAGGACAATAAAGCAGAATAGGTGGTCCGCAATGGCAGTCAAATACCCTGCTGTACCCTAATTAGGAATAAACTGAAACGCGTTTCGGGAGACAAACCCCCCTTCTTCAGCTCTGAAGGGGGTTCATCTCCCGAAATGCGTCAGATTATCCCTAATTAGGGCACAGCATGGTATTAGACTGCCATTGCGGACCACCTATTCTGCTTGTATTTTCCTTTGGTTTGTGAGTATATATCTATTTGATTTCACAACAAACACGTGGTGTACCACGGTAATGCACGATGAGAGTGCGCCCTTTTTGCTTTTGTTCAAACATCTAAGAATCTTGCCCGCAGAAAATAATTTATAAGTGAAAAAAAAAAGTGGTTTGCTTCTCTCAATGCAAAGAAAAGACGTCTATCTCCTAGATACACCAGTAAACAATGTTTGGTTTGGTCTGGAAGTGAAAGGAGTTATACTGGGCTGTCCTTCGAGCTTTCCCACTTTACCAGTGTCAAATCTAATGAAGGTGGCATCAAATCCAAAGGTTCTAGTATAATGAATCCTGCAATTTCCAATTAAGAAATTCTAAATAATCAGCAAGTCACATAAATGCATCAAAACTTTTGATATATTTTTTGACATTCTTCTAATGTATGCAAACAGGTTTATAGAAAATAAATGCCTTTATCTTTACAACTTTTAAAAAGAACAAAACAAAACAAAAAAAGTAATACTATTCGTATATACATACAAAAATGTTTACAGGGAACATTAACTGCAAGTCTGTACATGGATTTACAATATCAAATGAACTCTACAATTGAAATTCACATTTATATTCAAATTAAAACACTTTTTTCAGGACTGTAGGAGGGAAGAAGTGAGCAACAGAATTATTATACAAAGTATCAGAGCATACCTCATATTTTACATTGCTGCATTTTAAAAAGGCAATGATTTTTTTTTATCACCAAGCTTTAATGAACATATAATATACAAAACAGGAAAACTGCAAATGCACAACTCAGTTCTTTAGGTACATAAAATTTTGTTTTTGTGCAATTAACCAATAAGTTTAACAGATCTTTAATTTACATTACCTACAGAAGCAAAAGCCCTAAAAGCTGTCTTTTATACTTGTGAAATAGTACCCAAATATTTGAGTACTATTTTAAGATGCACACAAAATCTGAGTGTCTCAAAGGTAAACTGAAGGAATGATTGCATACTTACACTGGTCCAGCATGGCACAATGTAAGTAAACACAACTCACACCTGATAGGACACTGGGGAAGTTGAAAAACACTGTAGTGGGTTGGTGCTATTATGGTGATAACTGCAATCTACTGGGTCCTGTTAAAGTAGCTTTGACTCTGCTCATTTGTGGCATCCCCACCATTCATAGAATGTCTTGTTTTTTTTTTTAATACAAGGCATCTTTTTACTGGACGAGGTGGAGATTGTAAGGTCACCATCCTTCTTCTCAACCTTGGCCAATCCATCAACGTAAGTATGCAATACAAATAATTCGGGGAGTCAGCATTAAGATGAGTTACGCATGTCAGCAAAAAAAGCAAGTAAAAAAACCCACACAGATAAAGCCAACGATGCACTCATAGCTTCATTGCAGCACTTTTTAAATTCAAATGGAATCTGCCATGAGAACACCCATGAGATATACCTTAGATGAAGCTGATATTTACATACAACTGGGCTGCAAATTAGTTCTGCAGTATTGAAGCTGAACCTACTCGGCGTCATTGCCTGTAAAGTCACTTGAAACCAGTATGCAGCCTAGCAATCAAAAAACTGCTATCATCTGAAGCTTCGACAAAACTTTACTTTTCATTAACAATGAAAGCTCTATTTAAAAAGTGGTAATCAAACAGGGAATAAGGAATCTGCCTATTGTAATTTCATGAATATCCTGCCTCTAAATGAACACCAACATTTTAATTCTATGCTGGTGAAAACTTCCAAAACATAACAAGCACTCGCAAAGCTTACTAATGTTACCTCCCCATAACCACAAGCAATTGTTAGATTTAGGATGTGAAGATCCATGTACTGGTAGCTAATATTTTTGGTTACCAAGCAAAAAAAATGTATCTATTCAAAATGGTCCTTGACAGCTGGATGGACAGCTTTGGTGTGCTGTGTTAAAAACAAAAAAAAACTGCGCCAGCTGCATCCTTGGTGCAATTTTTAGAAAAACTGATCTTTCACAGACGAGAATAGTAATGCACCTAAAACGTAGAGCACAACAAATGCAAAGAGTAAAGCAGACAGACAATAAACCCTTTCATGATAGCTCCTAAAAACACTTCCTTACCTAATGAAAATGGACATGGTAAGATGCACTTGCAGAACAGCAAAGCCACCAAAGAGCTAAAGCAAGTTGGAGAAAGGTCAGTCCACCCAACACAGATGTTTCAGATTTGATGTTGAAGAGTCAAAAGGCATACTTTTCATTGCATGTTAATCCTTCCACTTTATTATTTAATGATATGATATTGAGAATGTGACAGCAGCACACATTAAAGTGGAAATAAAGGCTACACATAAGCATGCCTAAAACCACTGCTTCCCTCTCCTCCTACCTATGTTGTATAGTGCTGGTAAAAAATAACTGTGTAAATACCTCATTTCAATCTGCTCTGATCACATGATGCAGAAGCTCTAGCTTCCCTGTGTCATGGAGCACCCGACAATGGGGTCGATTTCTGGGAGCCGTGATGTCATCTACTGGTTTAAATTGTCCATATGTGTTTGGCTCCCCCTCCTCTCCCTTGCACCAGCCACTCTATTAGACAGGGGAGCTGGAGCTTCCGTATCACAGACTGGATTGAAATAGTGTATTTACACAGATCTTTTTTACCAGCACTATACAGAATAGTTAGGAGAAAGGGGGAAGCCGTGGTTTTATGCATATTTATATGTAGCCTTTACTTCAACTTTAAACTCTTCCTGTTGCACCAAATCCAAGGCAGGTTAATGGTGCTAAAGTTTGTGAAGATCAAAATTCAACAAACTATTAAATTTGCCAAGAACTAAAAGGGGCATTGTTTATTGCTGGTTTCTTGAACTGAATATGTTTTGTTATTGCGTTGTTTCCTACCAGTAATATACACAGAAGGAAAGCCAGTCTTGCAGAGTTTCTAGCAGCAGCAATGTTAGTGCTCAAATAAGAGTTACAGAAACTGAAAATGTGTTAGACACTGGAGTTTGAACAACCCCAACAGCCATATTACTTTGGACCCAGTTAATGGGATCAAGTTCTGGCTAAATATTTCAAAATACACAGAAATTTTAAATGCAGTTCTAAAAGACACAAGCTGCTGTTTTTCAGTAACAGATTGTTCATGAATGGCATATATCTATATAATTTCCAGACTGCGAAAGCTTTTGAGACAGATTGCAATCAACGTACAGTATATTTGATATACAACTGTAATGTAGAAAAGGAGCAAAATGACCCTACAGAAGTAATGATTTCCCAAGCTTCAATGCTATCAGGAACATGTGTTACTTATTTATACAAGATCTTCAGTGAGCTGAAACATTACAAACTGGGCTTGATGTCAAATATTACAAAAATCCTCACTAAGGTGCAGGAAAAAAACCCATACTGTCAGCTTGTGCAGCCATCATCCATGTCCCCGCCTCTGCTGTCTTCACTGCTACCTAGCCAAACTGCAAGTGAGGCAGAGGTACGGATTAGTTGATAAACCAGAGGCAGCCGTCAGTAGCTCTGGCTCACGGAGAGCTACAGCAAACAGGCAGTGAAGACAGCAACTAATAGGACCAGATCACTTAGGTTGCCAGTATTTCTGCACTCCTAGATGGATTTTTGTAACTTGCTTTTAGCTCTGCTTAAAAGTGGAAAAAGATAAAATTATATTATTAATATACCATTTAATTTTGTATTCAGGTATTTTAAGAATCACCACTGCTGTTAAAGGACACAGGATAAAAAACTGAAAATCAAGTCTCAAGTACAGCACTTACAATACCCAAACAATAACAGACCCAATAAAAGACCTTAACTATTCCACTTCAGCTGAAGTAGGGTGAAGGGCTGCTTGCACCACAAGAGACCGAGACAAGAATTTTGCAATGGTACAAAAAGTTTTGCATATAAATATTAACTTAATTTGAAAAAATAGGAGCCTAATCACAATATGTTACAGTTTGAAAAGATATCATTGGTAGAAACTAATGCAGTTAAAGGGAAAACTGCAATATGGTGGGGGGAGTGGGGGCAATAGGTAAAATTGTGCTTCGCTCTTCCTCCATGTTCAGCAGCCTGAACATTCAGGTCCAAACTATTTCCAAGTTGTGTTGGTTCAAGTCTCCTCCCTACTCCTTTAATATGAGGCCCAAAAGGGGCAGACGGTGAAGCAGGAATCAGAACCTAAATGTTGTTCAGAAAAGTCACACCACTCTCATATACAGCTGCCCCGTAAGTCCATACCAGTTCTTAAAAAAAATGTGGTTGCCGTTTTCACAGCCTGGTAGAGTAGACTTTCTGGTTTTGTAGAGCAGAAGCTAGTAGAAAGACTTGCGCAGGTCGTCCATCACCACAATTGCTTCCAACTGACTGACAGAATCGCAAGAAACAAATGTACATCCATATTCATGTAGTTATAAAACATGTCAGCTTATACTATTTCTGCTCTTCTTGAACAACTTCATTAACTGTCGGAATCTTTCTTCCACCTGTAATAAATGTTAAAAATGATGAGTCTTGCCTGAAAGAAGAAATGGAAACGCACAACTTCCCCAAACCCATAATAAGCCCATGTACCACAATAGCTAGTGGCACAAATGCCATCTGCACGACAAAGGGGAGGGCAATGGAATAATAAAGTACCGTATATACTCGAGTATAAGCCGACCCGAATATAAGCCGAGGTACCTAATTTTACCACAAAAAACTGGGAAAAACTATTGACTCGAGTATAAGCCCCATCATTGGTATCAGTGGGAGGAATAGTGCCCCATCATTGGTGTCAGTGGGAGGAATAGTGCCCCATCATTGGTGTCAGTGGGAGGAATAGTGCCCCATCATTGGTGTCAGTGGGAGGAGGAATAGTGCCCCATCGTTGGTGTCAGTAGGAGGAATAATGCCCCATCATTAGTATCAGTGACACCAATGATGCGGCACTATTCCTCCCACTGACACCAATGACACTTGCTGACCCCTGTTGCAGTATGGTGCTGCTGCAGCCAGCATATGTGGTTGCAGCAGCACCTCTGCACTGCACACTTACCGGCTTTTTCCCTCACTCGATTTTCGCAGGTCCGCTCGGCTCCGCCTCCTCGCCCGTGATTGGCCGTCTGTGTACCTTTCCTGAGCTACAGTTCTGGCGGCCAATCACCGGTGAGGAGGCGGAGCCGAGCTGCAGGAGTGAGGAAGTGGCCGAGTGACGGAAGGAGCAGCGCTTCCTGGATGGATCGTCGTGGGAGCCAGGTAAGAGACTGCAGCTCTCTGCCCACCCCTGTACACGCCCCCCTTGACGTTGACTCGAGTATAAGCCGAGGGGGGCGTTTTTCAGCACAAAAAATGTGCTGAAAAACTCGGCTTATACTCGAGTATATACGTAAGCATTCTTTTACAAAATGAGAGTATTGCATGTTAATGTTTTGAGGACACTGTAATGGATAGGGACGTTTGTGGCAAAATTAGGGTGAATCAACCCTTGAAAGATTTTTTGCTTTTAAACTGCCTCCCGCCCACCATATAAGGAAATGACAGACGGGTGGTGGCTCTCTCGTTCTGGGAGGACATCATATGACGTTCTCACACTCTAGCTGTGCATGCACACCCCTGGGAGCACACGGCTATTGGTGGTGCGCTGGGTCCCTGGGACACAGCGGGATCACCGATCGCAGTAAGAAGCCGATGTCACAGGCTCTATCATGTGATTAGCTGTGTCCAATCACAGCTGATCACATGTAACTAGGAAATGCCGGTTATCACCTCTCCTTTCTACATGCTGACATCGCGTTAGGAAAGGAGAGCCGGTAAGCAGCATTTCTCAGGGGATAATCAGTGCAGCTCCATCAGTGCTGCCTTTCAGTGCCCATCATTGTCACCTGTCAGCGCTCATCAATGCCACATAGTGCCCAACAGAGCTGCCAGTCAGTGCCACCTATCAGTGCCAGTCAGTGCCATTTATGAGTGTTGCATTTCAGTGCCCATCAGTGATGCCTGTCAATGCCTCCTCCTCAGTGTCACCTATCAATGTCCATAAATAATGCCTGTCAGTATCCATCAGTGCCGCCTCATTAGCGCACATCAGTGAAGGAGAAAAATTACTTTACAAAAATTTATAACAGAAAAGAAAAAAAACTTTGTTTCAAAATTTTCAGCCTTTTTTAGCTTGTTTAGCTAAAAGTAAAAAACCCAGTGGTGATTAAATACCACCAAAAGAAATCTGTGTCTCAAAAAAATGATAAACATTTTGTTTGGGTACAGTGTTAAATAACAGCGCAATTGTCATTCAAAGTGCGACAGCACTGAAAGCTGAAAATTGGCCTGGACAGTAAGGGAGTAAAGGTGCCCAGTATGCAAGTGGTTAACCAAGCAATGTCATGAAAAGAAACGTTTACATACACTCTTTAAAAACTAATCTAAAGTTGGTTGGTTATACATTTTGCAATGTGACTGTACAACCTTCTAAAACTTCTATAGAATTGCCAATACAGTTCAAGGGCCTTGGATAGGAAGGTCCATGTGTTGCATAGTTGCTATTTAAATTTTTTACAAATGTAAAAAAAAAAAAAAAAAGAAAAAAAATTGTTTTCCATTTTCTATAGCAATTTATGATTTTATAACACTTTATAATGCTGACTGATGTCATCACAACATCAAAGTTATTTTTTATTCAGTTGTAGGAAGCAAATAATTTTGGTCCCCCCCCCAAAAAAAACAAGGCAGTGGAAACGAATATATATGGTTGTCATCACATCTAAACAGTAGTCTACACAATTCAACTACAAGAGCCATGGATAAAGGATTATATGAATGAGTCTGTTGGAATAGCCATTATCGCTACATTCAAGCACAAGATGTCTGTACGCTTTACGTACCTGATGTGGATATTTACTCATCTTTGATGCCAAGGCAAGAAATGTTTTTCTACTAGGTCCATGTTGTTGACATTCTAATAGAATTTCACGGTCCTCATTTCTGGGAAAGATAGATACAGATAAATGGTATAAGAATACAAATATTTTGTATTTTTAAATACCTAGCCAGATAAAAGAAATGGTTGCCATCACAATAAAATGTAAAGTCCTATTTTAAGCCCAACTAAAGTTATGTGTAAAAAGACCATTCTGAATTGAGGGTGCATAATAACAAACATAGTTACAAAAAGATTACTATTATATACCTATTTACAGAATCAACAAAATCTTGAGAACTAGGCAACAGAAAGTACCACTGTTATCGCTGTGTAAGCAGTAGCCTCTTAGCGGTGTGGGAGTCAGGGGGGAACAGTGTGTCAGACTACTGCAAAGGCTCTCTAATTACAGAGCCCTACCTGTGACTCAGGAGACGGCATGTCAGACCACTGCAAAGAGAATGGCAGTCCCTCTGCAGACTGGGGCTAAAGTAAATAAGCCGGCACTGGTGTCCAAATACAGTGGGGATCGAAAGTTTGGGCACCCCAGCTAAAAATTTGTATTAATGTGCATAAAGAAGCCAAGAAAAGATGGAAAAATCTCCAAAAGGCATCAAATTACAGATTAGACATTCTTATAATATGTCAACAAAAGTTAGATTTTATTTCCATCATTTACACTTTCAAAATAACAGAAAACAAAAAAATGGCGTCTGCAAGTTTGGGCACCCTGCAGAATTTATAGCATGCACTGCCCCCTTTGCCAAGCTGAGACCTGCCAGTGTCATGGATTGTTCTCAATCATCGTCTGGGAAGACCAGGTGATGTCAATCTCAAAGGTTTTAAATGCCCAGACTCATCTGAACTTGCCCCAACAATCAGCACCATGGGTTCTTCTAAGCAGTTGTCTAGAAAACTGAAACTGAAAATAGTTAACGCTCACAAAGCTGGAGAAGGCTATAAGAAGATAGCAAAGCGTTTTCAGATGTCAATATCCTCTGTTCGGAATGTAATTAAGAAATGGCAGTCATCAGGAACAGTGGAAGTTAAAGCAAGATCTGGAAGACCAAGAAAAATATCAGACAGAACAGCTCGCAGGATTGTGAGAAAAACCAATTCAAAACCCACGTTTGACTGCACGATCCCTCCAGAAAGATCTGGCAGACACTGGAGTTGTGGTACACTATTCCACTATAAAGAGATACTTGTACAAATATGGTCTTCATGGAAGAGTCATCAGAAGAAAACCTCTTCTACGTCCTCACCACAAAAATCATCGTTTGAACTTTGCAAATGAACATATAGACAAGCCTGATGCATTTTGGAAACAAGTTCTGTGGACCGATGAGGTTAAAATTGAACTTTTTGGCCGGAATGAGCAAAGGTACGTTTGGAGAAGAAGGGGCACAGAATTTAATGAAAAGAACCTCTGTCCAACTGTTAAGCATGGGGTTGGATCAATAATGTTTTGGGGTTGTGTTGCAGCCAGTGGCACAGGGAACATCTCACGAGTAGAAGGAAAAATGGATTCAATAAAATTTCAGCAAATTTTGGATGGTAACTTGATGCCATCTGTGAAAAAGCTGAAGTTAAAGAGAGGATGGCTTCTACAAATGGATAATGATCCTAAACACACCTCGAAATCCACGGGGGATTACATCAAGAGGCGTAAACTGAAGGTTTTGCCATGGCCTTCACAATCTCCTGACCTCAACATAATTGAAAATCTATGGATAGACCTTAAAAGAGCACTGCGTGACAGACAGCCCAGAAATCACAAAGAACTGGAAGACTTTTGTAAGGAAGAATGGGCAAAGATACCTCAAACAAGAATTGAAAGACTCTTGGCTGGCTACAAAAAGCGTTTACAAGCTGTGATACTTGCCAAAGGGGGGCAGTACAAGATATTAACTCTGCAGGATGCCCAAACTTTTGCAGACGCCATTTTTTTGTTTTCTGTTATTTTGAAAGTGTAAATGATGGAAATAAAATCTAACTTTTGTTGACATATTATAAGAATGTCTAATCTGTAATTTGATGCCTTTTGGAGATTTTTCCATCTTTCCTTGGCTTCTTTATGCACATTAATACAAATTTTTAGCTGGGGTGCCCAAACTTTCGATCCCCACTGTGTATGTGTGTATATATATATATATATATATATATATATATATATATATATATATAGTTTAGGGACTAGATGTTCTTTAAACTTCTTATAATAACCTACAATCAATCTGAAAATCTAGCTTCATCCAATCTAGGCCTCGTTTAGATATATCTGTCTTTTCCCCCTTCTCTCTTCCTCCCATTCCTTCTGGTTCTTATATTCTGCTTTAGTATCTCTGAAATGTGTTAGCGAGATCAGTGGCCGAATAAACCATTTTATCTTTTTTCGTTTTTAATTTTATCAATAAAATTATTCGTTTTCTTATCCTTCAGTTTCTTCATTAGATGTTTCCAGTTTATTACCCCACCAATGTCTTTCCTTCGAGACCCTATTAAAAATCTTCCTCGTTTCTTGTTCCATGAGATCCTTTAACTCCTCTCTTTAATATTATCTCATGTTCCAAATCTATATTTATTTTCTTTTTATGTAATTGTTCCAGCTGATATAGTTCTTCCGTTAATACCCTGATTTTTTTTTGCCCGTTCTCTCGTTTTCTCTGCCCCTATCACAATCAGTATACCCTTAATATAGACCTTATGTGCTTTCTGTACAGTGGCGACAGAAACCTCCTCGGAGTCGTTTAACTTAAAATATTGTTCTATTTCCTGCTTTACTCTTATTTCTGTTTTCGAGTCTTGTGACAGGATCATGGTTCGATAAAGATATTACATCTATGTTAGTTTTCAAAGACTCAGAGTCTATGTTCAATCAACATATAATCCAATGCTAAATACATCCTATGTGCCGCAGAGAAGGTGGTATAGACTCTTTCCCTTGGGTGCTTAACCCTCCAAGCATCCATCAGCTGACATTGATGCAACTTTTTTTTTTTTTTTTTAAAAAACATTCTTTAGACTCCAATTTCCCTCTCTCCGAGTGCACGGTGAAGCATCCATCTCTGGATCAAAAATTTAAGTCTTCTGCCACAATCAGGCTACCCCTTTTAAAGTCTATAAGTTTTCCCAATATTCCTTCAAAATATACCGTTGTGTTTCTATTGGGGAAATAGATATTTGCTAATGTACACTCCCTTCCGTGCAGGTTTCCTCTCAAAAATAAATAACGGCCTGCTGGATCTGCCAACCTTCATCCAAAAGTTAATTTTATATTTTTTCCAAATCCTATCGCCACTCCCTTTGTCTGTCGCATTGGAGAATCCGCATAGTACCAAGTTGGAAGATATTCAGAATACAGCTTGCCATTTGAATCTTTGGATATACATGTCTCTTGCAGTACTTCAATAGATCGTTGCTATATTTCCCTTAAAACCTTGTGTCTTTTTGTTGGAGTGTTCAGGCCTTTTACATTATATGTCATAAAATAAACAATATTCCTTCCTCCCATTTTGTCTGTTCTCCTCTATGTATCCCTTAGGGGATATAAGTAAATAACATTTAGAACAAGAAGACATTCCCCATTTACCCTTCTTCCCCACCCCCTTCCTACTTTCTCCCACCATCCCCTCATCCCTCCCTCTTACCCATCCCCTCCTTTTGAAAACCCCCAAGACCTATATTTGATCCTTGAATCAGTTGTGACATACTGTCACAGTTGATTCTTTCTTCTGGGTAAGACTCTGAACACACATGCCCATTCAAGCCCCGGTCTCTCATGCTTGGGTCTGAAATTCGGTGGCATGTTTAGCCTCCCTACTCCCCGCCATGAGTCTTCATCACTCACTTACCTGATCATCTTTTTTCTCCACTCTCTAGCCTGTCTAGGAAACATTTTTTCCCCATACCTAAGAGCCCCATTTAGCCTGTCCTCGGAGGAGGTGAATTTTATCCTTGAAATATTACAAGGCAAATGGGAGGAGTAAGGCAGTGGAGAGAGGAGACAGAAAAAAAAAAAAAAAAAAAAAGTAGGGGGATGGGGAGCACAATACTTGGGTCCGCCACCACCTATCCCCCCTCTCACCTTCCTTCCACAGCCATCTCCCCCAAAACCCCCCGCCCCCGTCTACCTAGTTTTCAAAACACTTTGCCATTTCTCTTCTAACCTTACAATTGCTTTCCCTCCTGCAGATCACCCACCAATATCGAACATCTATAAACCTAATTTTTCGCAAAAGCCGCTTAAATAATCTGGGAATCTCAGTTTCACCAAAATTTCCCGTCCTTCCACCCAATCAAGCATGCTGGGAATCCCAAAGTATAGCTGAAACTTTTTGCTAGATCAGATGAGGGGACAAAAATGTCAAAGATCTTCTTCTGGCAAGCGTCTCCTGTGATAGGTCTGCAAAAATTTGCAACTTCGTTTCTCCATATTTGATATCTGGTATCCCACGTAGCTTCTTCCAAATAATTTCTTTATCTTCATAATAATGGAACCTTACTATCACATCCCTTGGGGTATCCGATGTAACTCTTTGGGAACTCCTTAGCCTATGCACTATTTATAGTTGCTCAGTCTCTCCTCTTCCCATTATTGGGTTAAACAATCTTCTCATAATGTCCCATAGATCTTCTCCTTGAGACATTTCTGGTAAGCCTCTGATCCTTAAGTTGCTCCTATCTCGGTTTTCCTGATCTTCTAACTTATAGAACAGTCTGTTCTCTTCAATTCCTCCACTTGCTCTTCTAGTTTATTCATTACTTGGGCTTGTTTCTCCAAATCCCCATCAGTTTCCTCTACTCGTGTCAGGACGTATCCAAATTCACGGTGTAAAACCGCCATTTTACTTTTTATGGAGTTCTCTACTTTTGCAAACATATCTGCAATTTCCAATTTTGTGGGCATTTGTAACCTTGCCTCTTGCTCCTCCACATTTTTCTTTTCCCCCTTTCACTCTCCAGCTTTGATATTTCTTTCAGCTGATTTCTATCAGATACCTCAAAAGACAGTCTTGTTTGACCCCTGCTACAAATTTACTTCTCTGACTTTCTAGAGTTTGTT